CTCTAGCACAGGGTTAGGGATCCAGTCCATCCCAGGACAAGGGATTTGGTTTGAAGCAGACAGTCAACCCCACAGATGACAATTTACCAATATCATGTACATTGAGCACAGCTGCTTTGGAATCTGTTATAGGTAGACAGTGTATGCATATGTCACATATGTATTATATATCTCTATTGATGTCATGTATGTAAATATCTATACAAAACTTAACTCTGAAGGAGAAAACATTTTTAAATTCAACTGGGAATTCTGACGCTTTGGTAATCCTGCAAAGATTTATACACTCTATAAAACAAAATAATAATGTAACAAGAAAACTAAATATTAGACTGTATTTCCGTAAGGTTCCCTTTGGTTTCTCAAAAGTGGGTAAAAACGAACAAATAGAATCTTTCCTCTGGTAATAGTTGATTACTAGTCAAAAGGGGTCAGTTTTAGGCATGTCCTAAAATAGACCCTGCTACACAATTACACAGAATGCACTAAAGGGCTAGACCTGTGTGTATTAAAGGTTCAGGTGCACCCTGGGAGGAAGGGGGTCTACAAACATGTTCAGGAAGCCAGGGGACATCTACCAATCACAGAGTCCTCTCCTAGCCCAGGCAGAAGAGGGGAAAATGAAAAAACAGCAGCAGGGCTTTTACTACATATTCTCCAAAGTGAAGCTGCAACCTTTTTAGTTGTTGCAAAAATTCTGGCTGACAGGAAAATATGTAACAACTATTGACTTATACACATTACATATATTATACATGTGATAATAAGCATATTATATAAAGTCTACAGTTATTATTTCTGAATTCTCATTATTTCTATATTCCTAGTTAATAGTATTGTTATTAAATTCTATATACTACTCCTGTGTATGTAGGCTATGTAAACATGCAATAAGTGGTATGAGAAATATTAATTCACCTGTTCAGGATATCAAAAGATAGTACACTTTAAAAATATGCATGTGAGCCTGGCGTTGGTGGCGCACGCCTTTAATCCCAGCACTCAGGAGGCAGAGGCAGGCGGATCTCTGTGAGTTCCAGGGCAGCCTGGTCTACAGAGTGAGTTCCAGGACAGCCTGGACTACAAAGAAAGTTCCTGCCTTAAAAAAAAAAGTCATTTCAGTAGAAGAAAGAGACAAGTTTAGAGAAGCAGAATGGTGGGGCCTCTCTGATGAGAGGTCGGGGACTGGCAGGAAAGAAAGGAGACTCTGCCGGCAGGCAAACAGACACAGGAAAGCGGATGGGATCCATGCTCCCTGGCATCCTCTGCTAGCCGGGTCTCTGAGCGGAACATGGACGTCCAGCGCTACACTTTTGGCTCGCTCACACCATGGGTCAGTACTGAGCACATGTTCCCGCAGAGCAGCTTGGGTGTCTCACCAAGGATGTTCTGGAGCAGTGGGAACCAAAGAATGAAACAGACAAGCCTGTCTTTAGGGAGGTTGACTACCATAGTCCACGCTCCACAAAAGCAAGAGGAAATACACGAAGGCAATGCTGAGGTCCTATAGCAGTAAGTCAGGGTGCAGAACTAAGAGTCAAACTTAAGTACTTACGAATGGTAGACAAACACTCTACCACTAAGTCATAGCACATCCAGCCCACAAAATCCACCTTAATTTCCCCCTGCATCATTGAATAAAAGCCAGTTACTGAAATCGTATCTCAAGATTATAAGGTTGGATGTCTACAAACAAAACATAAATAATAAAAGCAAGTACAAAAATATTTTCTTTTCCAATATATCAGGAAAAAAATAGATATTTCAATTGTTTCCCAAAATCAGGAAGATTTTTCCATATCATTCTGGAAATAATAATCATTTTATCTCCAAAAACATCTCATGAGCATATCCATTAACTTATTTTTAAATCTGAGATAAATGGCTCTACTGAATGATGAGTGTGCTGCATTCACTAGGTAGGCCCATCAGATTTTATGATTCTAAAATATTTTAATTGGTTTTCTGTTATTATATAATATTAACCTGCAGAACCTAAGTAACTGGCCACCACTGCTACCATTAGAAGCTTCTTCCCTCATTGTAACTAGCCCTTGGCATGCTTTCATGGTGGTATCCCTGTGCACAACTTCAAGGTCCTATCAGCATTAAAAGATCAGAATTACTCCTCTGTTTAAAGCTAGAAATACAAAACTAACATTTCAAACAAAAACAAAAGAAATTCAAAGATAAGGGACGCTTTTTATATCAATGATTGTCAAATGAATTAAATATATTAGAAATAGTTCAATGAACGTATATAAACACATCTTCAAATGTTTACACAGTGAAAGCTTAGTTATTGTGACGAGCTAATTACACTGTGATCTAAAACAGAATTGTGCCTGCGGCGCCCTCTGCTGGGTTTTCCACTCATAAACTCAACGAAGCAACACTAATGAAGTCAAATCAAACTTACATATTGAGTGAAAAATTACTTTGTTGTCTATGAACACTTTATGATGAAGACTATATGAAAGTCGTAACTGGTATTTTCTTCGCTGAAATACGATTTTACCTATTTATCCATTAAGTGGAACTTCAATAGATGTTTCTCTTAAAGGGTAAATGCACAGTCACATAAATTGTAGACACGTATGTGACATGAAAGTAGACCCAAAGGGAAGTAACAGCAGAGAAGAGGGGAGGGGAAAAAGATGGAGGGGAGGGATGAGGACAATGCAGCCAACATTTACCAACACTAGAAAGTGAAACATCCATAAGGACTGCGAGGGGACTCAGTGGAGAAAGCCCTTGCCACACACTTACAAGGAGCTCGGTTCATTTCCCCAGAACCCATGTAGATGGCAGGTGGGCCTGGTGGCCTGTCTCTTAACTCTGGCACTAGCACTCAGGAGGGCCCTGGAGTAAGCTAGGTAGCTAGGCTGGCGGCATGGACAAGCTGGGGGTTCTGTTAAGAAACCTTGCTCCAGTGACTAGGTGGAGAAGAGCAGCAAAGGCTCCTGACCCCAACCTCAGGTCTCCACATGAATATACACATACAGATACTCCCATGAACACACATGCACACACACACCACACACACACCACATATCACACAGGCACTCAGATGCCAAAAAAGTTACAAACAAAAAAGTCTGAATATATACCTTGTTTTTGTCACTACATCTGTCACTTGACAATATTTTCAGGTTCTTAAGACTATTATGACAAAACATTTTACTAAGCTATTTTGTTTTTTAATCTAATTTTTCTGGCTTCTTAGTTCAATCAAAATAGTTCGTTTTAAAACATCAAAATAACTCTTAGTGTTTCTTTTCAACTTTATTTTAAATTAATCCTTAACAACCTAAATTGTACATACTTATAAATAAGTTTGAAAAGTACCAACACCAGGAGCAATAAACTAATAAATAAACAGCTTCCACTATTATCAACTGTGAGCAATAGAGTGCTCTATGCTATGTTAAAATGAACACGTAGTCTGTAAAATGAATGTATAGTCTTTAAAAATGAATGTGTAGTCTTTAAGATGAATACGGAGCCTTTAAAAGGAATAAACTACATGTTCACAGAGACTCTATAAATCACTGAAGGTGAATCTCTGCATTAGGATTTCCTACCAACAACAGACAGCGGAAAGAAACCATCCTCAACACACAATTTCTCCATTTATCAATGCAACGACGTGGGGTGTGGTGATGGAGGAAACGGTGAGGAAGACTAAGACATCATTCACATGTGAAATAATAACTTGGACGTTAGGAAGCTATTTTTATTATATGTAGTGCTGCCAGCTAGTGGCCCTATTTCATACTGAGTCAGGCAAACAATACTTGCCTTATATGACTGAATTACAATCTCTATACTTCACATTCCAGGATCATGTTATAAACCTGAGTGTGCACAAGGCTGACGTAAGGATATGTAACATTACTCCAGTATAAAGAAGTACTCCAGTACACCGCCACAGCATCCCTAGAACAGTCCTTGCCTAGCTCCCGACAAAACTACAAGACACACCTAAGTCAGAATTCACTAACAACCAATACATATAAAGTAAGAGGTAACCTGTTACTATCAGTGCAAAAGAAACCTACTTCAAATATTTTAGGGTAATTTTGTCCTCAGTGACAAAATATAGCTTTTCTATACAAGCAAGAGCTGGCCAAAATGTACACATAGAATAAAATTAATGTCTACTATTATATATTACTCAATTCAAATCCATTCATTTGATAAAACAATTCTATTAGCAGAATTTGTCATTTAAGTGTAGAGAATAATTAATAAGCTTCTTCTGAAGAAAAATGTTATTTTCAAATTTGAAACGGATGTATTTTACTATTGATTCATTATTTCGGTAAGCATCCTATGCAACAATAAAGAGGACACACATAGCTCTTATCGTGATAGGTCATTCAACTGTGACGTGATATATTCTTACCTGACTTCTTTCATTATGTGGCATTATTTTAGAATTTCTTAAGTGAAGCTCTCAGCAGAGAAATAGATCACCAATTAACTAGGGGCTTAGACAGACACACAATATATCCTATAATATTATATAAACAAAACCTTGGGTTTTAAGTACAATAACATCAATACAAACATGCTCTGTGTTTAATGTAGACTAAAAGAGTAAGGGACCCAAAAGGCAGAAGCAGGCCAACAACTACTCATGAGAAAAGTCCCTACGGAAACAAAAACCAAGAGGAACAAGGCTGCAGAGTCCAGACTTCCTTCTGATCTATATTGCCACATACACAAAAACACATTGTCATAAAGTCTGTAAAAACTGCACACCCCACTGAGTATGTATCTCCTATGAGGCATACGTTACAGCTAATAGCACCGAGGCTTTCTAATATGTATGCATATATGTGTACACACACATGTAAGAATATATGCATATATTTGTATGTGTACTTATGCATATAAGTATATACACACAGCAAGTATAATAACAAGAAGTAGGGAAAAACTAAAAGTTGCTTTTTGGAGCACTGGATATATTTTACAGTTAGCATTGAACTTACAAACATTTCCTGTATTGTCGAAGCTGGTGAGAATGTCTTCAACATTCAAGGGTCCGCTATTATGCCTGCAAAGGAACAGAGCATTTTATTTAACCTTTCTGAAACAATCACCTTTCTAATTCTTTTTTAAGTCTGAGCAAATTGTGACATACCCAACACTAATGAACCCTACCATGTTATAGTTTTAAAGTAGTTTCTGCCTCCTAGAAAGACGAAGGGGGGAACCTCAAACCATAGTCTTCAGAGTATTTGATGCAATCACATGTCCTGATTACAGTCAACATCTTAAGGTAATATAGTTTTTTTAAATCACTGTTTAGCAGAAAATAATTTATAGTTACATGCAAGCAGGTCCTTAAAGACAAATTAAAAAATAAAAATAAACATACTACACAGAGAATCTTAGAATACAAGAAAGAGCCGGGCGTTGGTGGCGCACGCCTTTAATCCCTGTACTCGGGAGGCAGAGGCAGGAGGATCTCTGTGAGTTCGAGACCAGCCTGGACTACCAAGTGAGTTCCAGGACAGCCTCCAAAGCCACAGAGAAACCCTGTCTCGAAAAACCAAAAAAAAAAAAAAAAAAAAAAAAAAAGAATACAAGAAAGAAAAAACAAGTCACCCCCAGAACCACCCTCGGTAATACAGAAAGTTCTACAGAAGCAGTCAGAGCACAGATTTGAAAACCGTCACAGGGAACTGTCAGTCACCAGGTCTGCACAGTCCACAGTGGGCAGTTGGAACTGTTAGCAGGCAAAAAGGATTCACGGCATTTATCTCTAATCTGTTAGCTCCCATCTCTCCTCTCAGCCCTTCAAACACTGCATTTTATTACTGAGATGTTAGTAAGGGATCCAGCCAGCAAGAGTTCCAGTTAGAGTGCCATGATCTTCTAATTCGCCCTCAGAATTATAGCTGTAAAACTGTAAAAGGTGGCACACGCCTTTAATCCCAGCACTCAGGAGGCAGAGGCAGGTGGATCTCTGTGAGTTCAAGGCCAGCCTGGTCTACAGAGTGAGTGCCAGCACAGCCTCCAAAACAATACAGAGAAACTCTGTCTTGAAAAAAAAAAAGGATTACAGCTGTAGTTACTTTCAGGTGTTTTGATTGTTTATAATATAATCACCACTGGAAATGCATTTCACCAATACTACTTATCTTTGTCAATAAAACTTAGTATAAATGGGGGCTAGAATATGTGTGTGTATAAATGTATATAAAATTATATATATCAATATATGTTAGTTTGCTAGAATATACATAACTATATATCAAAAGAATGTTAACCATATTACTCTTTTCAGAAAAAAAGCTTTTTTGTGTAAGAAATTTTAATTTTATTTTAATTTTGATTCAGTGTTTTCAACTTTTATCGATTATTTTCAGATTTCACATCATGCATACACATGCCATTTATCTCTCTTCCCCCAGCCGTCTGCACCTGGCATCTGCCCACATCCTTGCAATACCCCCCAAATTTTAAAAGAAAAATAAAAAGCCAAACACACAAATGGAAACAGCAAAGTCAATCAAGCAAACAAAAACCCCAAACCAAAATCAAACAAGAAACACAAACAAAAAAAGAATCTCTTTGTGGAAGCTGTAGTGTTGTAGGCACATTAGCCCTTTAGTCCTTTTATCTTTTGTTGCAAGTACTCATTGGTGTGAGTCATTGGTCTGGTTCAAGGCTTCTGGCGTCTGCTCACATCTACAACGGGCTCTCACAGAGAGTCCTCTTGGATATCTTGTTGTCCTGTTTTGTGGGGACCCTGCATTTTGTTCATTTAGTTCATATTTAAGGAGGCTCCTATTTGAGTTCTGTCCATGCCAGCCTCATGGCATAACAGGGAGAGTTGCTAACAAGGTTTGTTTGTTTATTTATTTATTTTTGTTTTTGTTTTGTTTTGTTTGAGACAGGGTCTCACTTTGTAGCTCTTACTGTCCTGGAATTCACTATGTAGACTAGTTTAGCCTTGAACTCACAGAGATCCACCTCCCTCTCTGCCTCCTGAGTGCTGTGATTACAGAAGTGTCCCACCATGCCCTGCAAGGATATTTTTTTTTCAGAAAAAAAGCTTTTATTTCTGTCAGATATCGTTTCTCTGATAGAATGATTGAGGTTACATAAAGTCATCTGCAAACATAACTAGCCAAATAGATACTGAGCTCGAAGTTATCATAATCCAAAGAAATGAAATTATCACCCACAAACCAAAGCTTCTTCACCATTTTACGATTCTATATCACCTCTGTGAACATGAGAGTCACTAACATTACTAAAAACTATTTAAAAAATGAATCTTTAACATCTAAGATGCAGGATGGGGCATGACACAGCACAGAACTCGGCATGTTCCAAAACATGTGAGTATGTGATTCCTTTGAAGATAGCAAAACATCAAATCCTAACATTCAGGGATAATCAGTTAATATTTTGGTACACACTCTTCAAATCTGTTCTCTATACTTCAATAAGGATTGTTTTACAATTCATGTGTTTTATAACATATTATAAACAGTTTCAACATCCAGTCATCTCCTGTGATCTTAATGACTGTTCAGAAGTTCAAAGAGCAATTATGAATGGCTCTTTCTGTACCACAGTTACCCAACACAGACTTCATGTTGGATTTTATCATTGTTCGCAGGGTGGCGCTATTACACATATTACTGTGGTGGAAGTAATTGTAGATTATCATCAAGCCTGTTTCTGATAAGATCCTTTTAAAAAAATTCCTTTAAAAAAATGTCAGGCAGTGGTGGCACACACCTTTAATCCCAGCACTTGGAACAGCTAGGGTTACACAGAGAAACCCTATCAAAAAAAAAAAAAAATATATATATATATATATATATATATATATATATATATCCAAAGCAACAACAGCATTTGAAAGCAAATCTGAGGCAGAAGGATGTTGTGTGTGATGATCTGAATAAAAATGGCCCCCATAGACCCTCAGAGAGGGGTACTATTAGGAGGTGTGGCCTTGTTGAAGTGGGTGTGGCCTTGTTGGAAGGTTTCAGATGCGTAAGCTGGAATTGCAGAAGTAAAATGCCTACCTTAAAACCTCACATTGTGCTAAGTCACTACTGCAACTTTCTGAATATAAGGGTGAAGAAACAGGAAACTAAATCTCACAATTCTACTTATAAAAACATGAACAATTAGCCTGGTGGTGGTGGTGGTGGTGGTGGCACACACCTTTAATCTCAGCACTCAGGAGGCAGAGGCAGACAGATCTCTAAGTTAGAGGCCAACCTGGTCTACAGAGCGAGTTCCAGGACACTTAGGACTGTTACAGAGAAACCTTGACTCAAAAAGCCAAAATAAATAAAATTCTCTCAAAATAACTGATAGAGGGGATACTCAGTGTTCTCATCACAAACAAATGCCTGATGTCTGAGATACTGGCTAAGCTAAGCTCCCTAGCCTGACCAATTACAAGCCTAAAGACATAGAAAGCACTGAACTGTACTACATAAATACACATAATTACTAATTTTGAGTAAAGAAAAAACTTTATAACTTAAGAACCAAAATTAAACAGTCTAATTTACAATGGATCAGACACTTGAATGCAAAGAAGATATACAATACATCCATAAAAGATGCCCAGCATCTTTCATGTTCAGCTGGGAAATGACAATCAAAACCAGTCAAAGTGTCATTTCACACCTCTTAGACATTATGACTTTTTATAAGAGAAAAATGGGGCTGGAGAGGTGGCTCAGTGGTCAAGAGCAATGGACACTCTTCCAGAAGATGCGGGTCCAATCCCAGTACCCTGGTACATAGTGGCTCACAACCACTTGTAGTACCAGGGGATCCGATGCCTTCTTCTGGTCTCTGCGGGCACTGGGCACGCATGTAGTGCACAGACATACATGCAGGCAAACCACACATGCACAAATTAATTTATTTTAAAAAAGTGCTGACAAACATGAAGAAAATTTTGAATTCTCACTCAATTCCTAGTAAGAATGTTAAAAAGCCACTATGAAAAAGAGTTTGGCCGGGCCACAAAAAAGCTAAAGGTACAGCAACTACATTTTCTAGCCATTTCGTTCCCAGCTACATGCCAAGAGACTAAAAGAATATGTTTATAGACACACAAAAACGTGCACATGAAAGTCCACAGTATCATTGCATATAATAGTCAAAAAGTAAAAACAGCTCAAACTGTCCATTAGCTCATAAGTGAGTACTGAAGTGCGTCATAGCAATTCTACCACAGACACGGAAAAACATGGTAGACTTTGGATAAATGTTAAAGGCCAGACATAAAGCCCACATATTGTAGTATTCCATCTATATGAAATGTCTCCAACAAACCCCAAAAAATAAGAAGCAAATCAGACACTGCCAGATATTAGGGGAAAAGAAGCTGCTGACTGGGTATTTTCTTAATTTTGGGATTAATGACAGGGTTGCATAAGCCACCCAACACTGAATATACTAAGAAGGAACAAAAAAAAAACTCCTTTTTTTTCTTGTTTTTTTGAGACAGGGTTTCTCTAAGCAGCTTTGAAGCCTGTCTGGAACTCAGTCAGTAGACCAGGTTGGCCTTGAACTCACAGACATGCACCTGTCTCTGCCTCCCAAATGTGGGGTTAAAGGTGTATGCCAGTACCGCCTAGCTAAAACCCTTTTTATAGTGATAATCAGGTATTGAATTTTACCTTGATTAACAGGAAGAAAAAAATAAACCACAGAGTGGAATGTGCCCTAAAAGACTGTAAAAGAACAACAACAACAAAAAAAAGTACAGGTTTTCAGAAGGAAAATATTTAACAACAGACTGTACATGCAATTCACTTTGAAGCTTTTCTAAATAAATAAATGCCTTCTAAAGTCTTATCTGCATTATAAGGAAATAGATGATATCTTCATGGAATGTAGATAAATTTGAAAACATTCTAGGCACCCATTCCAATTTACTGAAACTGAGAATATGTATATGTAAGCAAGCTACATAAGCAAGCATGAATGGAGTTAAGATACAGTAGAAATTTAAGTCATAATTAGCTAACATCTATGTCATGTTACTTGAAAATAAGACTCAATGAACATGAGTTTCCCCCACACACTGGATAGTTTAAAGGTCTTATAAAGACTTTAAAATAAGAAACTAAACACTGTTTTATACCTCTTATTAATTCCATTCCTAATTAAAACTACATATTCAAATAAATTCAGTAATCATACTTGTTCAGTAGCCAGGCTTGCCCTTTTTTCATTTTGTTTTTTTAAGATTTATTTGTTCAGCTGGGCAGTGGTGGTGCACACCTTTAATCCCAGCACTTGGGAGGAAGAGGCAGGAGGATCTCTGTGAGTTCAAGACCAGCCTGGTCTATAAGAGCTAGTTGTTCCAGGACAGCCTACCAAGCCACAGAGAAATCCTGACTCAAAAAAAAATTATTTGTTTATGTATATGAGCATCTTGTCTGTATAAATGTCTGCACTGCACACCAGAAGAGGGCATCAGATCCCAATATAGATAGTGATGAGACACCATGTGAGTGCTGGGAATTAAACTTAGGACCTCTGGAAGAGCAGTCAGTGCTCCTAACTGCTGAGCCATCTATCCAGCCTTTAAATCAATTTTTTAGTTACTGCACAAAATGATGGGTTTCAATATGGCAGTGTCACACATGTCACACGTATATTGATATATTTTGTTTAATTCACCACCACCACAACTCACTACCTTCTCTTGCCTCTGCTCTCAGCACTGGCTAATAACCCTGAAATCATCACTAGGAAATGCAAATTATAACCACACTGGGATGTCACTTCATATCCGCCGAAATACTCCAATTTTTTCAATGGAACAGGTATTGAAGTAGGTACCTACAATACGCCAGGTATGTAAGAATAATCTACCATACATTCAATTGCATGAACAAATCATTCCTGTCACCAGCTGACTTGGCACTCAGAAGGCTCACACTAACTTCAGTAGTATAATGGTTTCATTTGTCTTTTCCTTTTCCTAGGATTTCATGGTGGTACATTTAGTGTACTGAAAAGCAACACAGGCAAAGCCACATTCCTGACTTCTTGTCCACCCTACGCTGCTAGGGCAAGCCAAAAGTCAAGTACTAGCCCTCAATTCAGCAACTGCCATAGCAACAGGGGTCAAATTCGAAGACAGAAGGACAGGTTAGGCGTCTCAGCTTTGCGCTTCTTAAACATTCATAAACTAATAGCTCTGGCATGTATGGACCTACATATAGTGGGATACGTATACATTTATAAACTAATAGCTCTGGCATGTATGGACCCACATGTAGTGGGATATGTATACGTTTATAAACTAATAGCTCTGATATGTATGGTTCCACATATAATGGAAGCATTTTAAACCTTCCAAATTATCTAAATTTGGCCATAGGGAAATTAAGTTAAAAAATAAGGTAAGGAGCTGAGAGGTGGTAGCACACACCTTTAATCCCAGCATTCGGGAGGCAGAGGCAGGCAGGTTTCTGTGAATTCAAGGCCAGGCTGATCTACAGAGCAAGTTCCAGGACAAGCTCCAAAACTACAGAGAAAACTTGTCTCAAAAACCATAAAAACAAAAAATAAGGTATGGAAACAATACCTAGTATCTACACAGTAAGCTCTATGCAATAATGAATCACAGCTTATAACACAGGGTGGAGGTTACTTTTAATAAAAATACTTTTAGTGAAGGCACCTTCTGGTCGGCTGTGGTTTTCTGTATGCCTCTAACTAACAGCAACATCTGTGTCTATAGCATTCTAAGAACCAGAGCACCAGAGAGACAAGACTAGGAGCAATGCCCTCTCTTCACTCCTCAGTCTCAACCATTTCCAAACAGCGGGCCACACTCGATACACAGACATGACAGCGGATCCTGGGGATTTCACACTCTAACCTATGGTCTAACAGCCCAAAACTTTGCTGTTCATGAGAAGTTACAGCTGGGTGATTCCAGCACTCAGGAAGCAGAGGCAGGTGGGTCTCTGTGAGTTTGAGGCCAGACTAGTGTACTGAGTGAATTCCAGTAAGCCAGGGCTACACAGAGAAGCCCTGCCTCAAAAAACAAAACACAAAAACAAAAAGGAAGAAAAGTGACTATGAGAAATTCATTATTCTTTTGTTTTGAGTACCATTATGCTAAGTGAAAATAATGGTTCAAGTTTTAATTTTCTATAATTATAATGTTATAGTTGATATAACAGTCATATAAGCAACTACTAGATATTTTGAAATTTACAATCGTTAGTTATTCTCTTTGGGGCATTATATGGAGGACTAGAAATCAAGGTACAAGGAGGTTTAAGTAAGGTGGGAAAAACAGATGCCAAGGACTACAAACAAGAAAGAATCACCCTATGCCCTCTGTTGAGCTATGCCTGGGACTCTGGGTGACAGGGAATGGGACAGAGAAAGTGGGCTCACAGTTATGGTCTGTGGGAGTCTCTGCCTACAGAACCCTCTCCCTAGGGAACAAGATGGCTCCCTCAGTAGCCACGGTCATTCTGTCTTGCACATTCCCATCTCACCGTTTCGTGATCCTTGTTCTCAACATTTTTAAAATGAAACAACTCCAGCATTATCGCAAAATGCCAGAATATAAGTAGGAGGGGGACATCATTCAGCAAAAGTGGTTATGTCTTGTTACTTCGGTTTACAACTCTCTTATCTCTGTTTAAGTAATTTTAAAAACTACAACAGTCTGTATGCTTCTCAGGAGACTGGTATTTTCAACTGAAGTTTCTTCTGTTTTTCTGGTTCTGTTCTGAGAATGACAAAATATGAATGGGAAAGATGCCAAAGATTGAAGTACAGCTTGGAAAAATTCTATTTTTACCTTCAGCCTTCTTCGCCCCAAGGAACTTGGCTTTTTTTTTTTTTGTCATAACTAAATACTGAGAGAACAGTTCAATGAAACCCTTGTTTGCAACCCACTTTATCTTTAAATGAATTTTTTTTTCTTGTCTGACAACACAGCAAGACCCAGTAAAGGTAGCAAAATTTCTTTTTAAGTTTTTTTAATGTTTCTAAAAAGTCATGAGTTTATTTAAAAGCATGTCATAAAGTTTGAGTCTCAGTTAAATGTGGAGGTTTGAATGAGAATGGCCCCCATAAGCTCATAGATTTAAATGCTTGGTCCTGGGTTGTTGGAACTGCTTGAGAAGGATTAGGAGGTGTGGCCTAGTTGGAGTGTGTGTGTGTGGCCTTGTTGGAGGAGGTATATTACTGGGGGTGGGCTTTGAGGCCTCAAAAGTCATGCTAGCCCCTATGTGTGTCTCTCTCTGCCTGCTGACTGTGGATCAGGATGGAAAGCTCTCAGCTACTGCTCCAGCACCATGCCTGTCTGCTTCCCACCATGATGATCATGGACTAACCCTCTGAAACTGTAAGCCGGCCCCCAATTAAATGCTTTCTTTTATAAGAGCTGTCTTGGTGATGGTGTCTTTTCACAGCAACAGAACACTGACTAACAATAATAAACAAGCACATCTTCTTTAGATGTTGATTTTTGCAAGGATACAGGCTTGCAAACAATATGATAAATATATTTATGTATGGCAAATATAAAAGGTGTTTGTAGAAAAAAAGTAGCAATGATTTAAACTACAATGAGAGTATCTTCCAAAAGTACTTTTTAAGTTGTTGCTTTCATTTGGCACTTGTGCTTTTTATGAAATACAAGCATAAGAGACTCTGTCTAAGGAAGCAGGGTTTCCCACATCAAGCTGCAAAACAGAGATCTATAATGATGGCTGCAAATCACAGTGGCAAGTGGGGCTGCTTAGTGCCAGAACAGCGCTCACCTCAAGGAGATACTGTATTCAGGATACAGGATGCTTGTGTACTGGACCCACACACCAGCCTCTTCCTCAGTTTCCCTTTTTTTGACTTCCGTGACCGAGAATAGATTAAATGATTCAAATCTTCTCACGGATACATGTTTCAGACAGTCATCCAGCTGTTTCTGCTTCAGAACCTTTGAAATGAAATCAAATGTTGGGGTTATATTATACACGTAGTGTAAGTTAGTTTCTAGTAACACTGGACTAGATTATTCAGACTAATGCTCTATTGAACACAAGGAGAAAGATGGACAAAACACGTAAGAGCATACTTGAAGGCACTGGAGATTAGTGAAGACAGTAACAGTTTAATAATGTGATATCTCAAAAGGGAGAAAAATCCTGAGTTAACAAAGCTTTTATATCCACTTTCTCCTGGGCATTTGTCAATTGGAGGAACTGAGAAAACAAGGAATGCCTTTAATACCCAGAACTAGAACAGGTGTGTTATTATATGACTCTGTGTGTGTATATACATGTATGCACATGTACAGCATATGTATGTACACGTGTGCATGCATGTGCACGTGTGTACATGTGTTTTTGTTTAGGATAAATCAAATAAATAGTTTCCATGTATGTAGAAAGGAGATAGAGCTGTAAGATTAATGAGTTTTAACAAAAAACCTACAGTTCCACATCCACACAGAAGTATAATGCAAACTAATGAAACCTTATATTTTCTGTCTTTTTTTTGGTTTTATGAGACAGGGTTTCTCTGTATTGTTTTGGAGGCTGTTGGTCCAGCCCGGCCTCGAACTCACAGAGATCTGTCTGCCTCAGCCTCCCGAGTGCTGGGATTAAAGGAGTGCACCACCACCACCCGGCTATTTTCTGTCTTATATCTGACCACCAATGAAAAGTTCCATGATCAAACTTGTAGCAATTAAGCAATTAGCACAAATTGTCAGTAAACATTATTTTCTACTGAGACAATGTGATACCCCTTGGAGAAATGGCAGGAATTGTACAAGATGGAGTGTGTGTGTGTGTGTGTGTGTGTGTGTGTGTGTGTATGTGTCTGTGTATGTGTATGTCTGTGTGTAAGACCCAGCAGCCAAACTAAATATCAGACACTATTTAATAGATATGATGAGCTGAATAAATCAAAATACAGTATTCCCAGTGCATATAACCAAGAGCCTAAAGGTTCAACTGACCACCCGCTCCTGCATCCCCATGCTCATAACCAGAAGCCTAGAAGTTCAACCGACCATTCTGTTACATTCCCAGCGTATATAACCAAGGGCCTAGAAGAATAAATGACACTACTACCCCTACACCCCTCATCTCTGCATATAACCAGAAGCCTCCAATTCTGGAGGACCCCAAAAGCAAGCTGCTCCAACAACCTTTTCCCTCTTTTGCTTCTTGTAGTACCTACTTTTCGTCACACTCTTTGGCAATATTTTTACAATTAGTCTTTATTTCTTACTATGCTTCATACAGCCGTCTAATGTCTTTCATTTCTGGACAATCTTTTTTTCTAATTGTTATCTTAGTGTATGAGTATTCTGTATACATGGATGTCTATGCACCAGGTGTGTGCCTATTGTCTACGGAGATCAGAAGAGGGCAACGGATCCCCTGGAACTGGAGTTGCAGATAGTAGTGGGCAGTGACGTAGGTGCTGGGAATCAAGCCTGGTTTTCTGGAGGAGCAGCCAGTTTTCTTAACATCTGAGTCATCTCTCCAGCCCCAGACCAACCTTCTTTTCTTTTTTGTCTTTTATGTTGTCTTCTCCCAACCTCTTTTTGACTCCCTTTGAAGAACTTTTAGTAGTACTTTGACTTTGCTTCTCCCCCCCATATAAAAACTTCTCCCCTGTGTGTCTCACCCTTATTTGGAGGTTATGATAATTGCTGTATCATTCCAATGACATACGTATCCTGACCTCATCTAAAGGGACTTTTAATTTGTTTGTTTTTATTTTCCAGTTTTCTCTTTTTTGGGAATCTTTCTGAATGACTTTTTTTTTTTTTTTTTTTTTTGGTTTTTCGAGACAGGGTTTCTCTGTATTGTTTTGGAGGCTGTCCTGGAACTAGCTCTGTAGACCAGGCTGGCCTCGAACTCACACATACCTCTGCCTCCCGAGTACTGGGATTAAAGGCGTGTGCCACTGACGCCCGGCCTGAATGACTTCTAATACTTACTCTTTTCCTCTCCATAATTTTCTGCCCAGCTCTTCCTTTCCTTGTTTACTGAACTTGGCTTCTCTATGTTTCCCTCTTTCCCTGACTTCTTCCTTTTCTTAGTCAACTTAGTATTTCCTTGTTTGTTTGTTTGTTTTTAGAGACACGGTTTCTCTGTGCAACAGCCCTGGCTATAGACCAGGCTGGCCTCGAACTCACAGAGATCTGCCTGTCTCTGCCTCCCGAGTGCTGGGATTAAAGGCGTGCGCCACCAACTCCTGGCATCCATTTACCCTAAATGTGTAACTACATAGTAGCTGTCTTAGCCTTTGGCTTACAGTCACCGTCAATGTATTGGCAGCCTCTTCATCAGTTTTTATAGCTTTTGCACTTTGATTCTGTAGCTGTTATGATTTGTTTTCTCCTCACTGGACAGAGTGGAGATTGACCCTCAGGGGTAGGCTGCTCAATGAGGTCTCCAAACACAACTGGAAGAGACATCCAAAGCAATGTTCCGCAAGCTACATTACAGAAACATCAAAATATTAAAAGGCAGGGCAACATGAGTTCCCCAAGATGTCATTATTCTTCACTGAATTCAAAAATACAGAAGTAGATGAAACGTTGGGTGAAGATTTCAAAAGTTTACTAATAAAAATGATAGTGAATCAAAGAAGACACAAGCAGAAAAAGTCAATCCAGGATCTGGAGAAGAAAGTCAGCAACACAGAAGGAAGTGGACAATAAAAATTTGCAATATGATGAAAAAGTTATCAACATAGAAGACAAATTCTTCAGAAAAAAATATACACATAGATATTCCTTGAATATATGTATTGTGGTATTGTGTGTGTGTGTGTGTGTGTGTGTGTGTGTGTGTGTTTCAAGATAGGGTCTCTCTGTGTAGCCTGACTGTCCTAGAACTCACTATTGTAAACCAGGCTGGCCTCAAACTCCCAAGTTCCAGAATTAAAGGCATACACACCACCACTCCCAGCTTGGAACTAAAAAAAAAAAAAAAAAAAGTTGGGCATTAGAAATTCAATCAACCAAGTAAAAACACAGTGTAAAAAATTACTTATGAGCCGGGCGTTGGTGGCACACGCCTTTAATCCCAGCACTCGGGAGGCAGAGGCAGGCGGATCTCTGTGAGTTCAAGACCAGCCTGGTCTACAAGAGCTAGTTCCAGGACAGCCTCCAAAGCCACAGAGAAACCCTGTGTCGAAAAAAACCAAAAAAAAAAAAAATACTTATGACTTAAACAGACTTAAAGACCAAAAATTACTCTTGAATGACCAGAGTCATTGAAGAAGTCATAGTAGAAATCAAAGTATTCCTAGAATTAAATCAAAATAAAAGTGTAATTCTAGGACCTTGGGATAACAGCTAAGCAGTTATGAGTGCTTACATTAAAAAACAAACCAAAAAAGAAATAATGACACACACCTTTAATCCTAGCACTTGGAACAGAGACTAGATATTTGTGAGACCAGCATGGTCTACAGAGTGACCTCCAGGACAGCCAGGACTACAAAATGAAACTCTGACTCAAAACTTACATTAAATTCAAAAATTAAATAAATAAACTAATGATGCAACTCAAGGCTTTGTGTGTTTCTAATTTTTTATATTTAATTAGTTTAATTATAAAAGATGTAATTAATATGATTATGATGACTTTCCAGTTCTATGGTAATTACTGAGTTTTGAATATGTATACTTCAAAAAGATAAACACACATTGCTTTTTGAGGATTTCTTTTTTTCCAATTATTTTTTTATTTTAAATTTTTTCATACAATATATTTTGATCATACTCTCCAAACTCCTCTCATATCCTCCCCACCTCCCTACCCACCTAACTTCATGTTCTTTCTCAACAAGGAAAAAAAATACAAAAGTCAAAACAAATAAACCAAACCCAATAAAACAAATAACAACAACAAAAAAGCACACAAGAAAAACCTGGAGTCTGTTTTGTGCTGGCCAGCTACTCTTGGGTGTAAGGTCTGGCCTGGAGTGTGGCTGCTGTACCCAGTGTCACTCCACTGCTATTCCTGGAGTGTGGCTGCTGTACCCAGTGTCACTCCACTGCTATACCTGGAGTGTGGCTGCTATACCCAGTGTCACTCCACTGGGGAGAGAACTGACTTTCTTCTCCCATCAGGTTACCAACTGCAAACAGCTTCTTGGTGAGGGTGGGGCTTTTGTCCACTTCCCCTTCTCCAGACTGGATTTTTGCAGCTCAAGAATTTAAACAAACCTCCGGGTGTCGGTGACTCACATCTTTAAACCTAGCACTTGGGAGGCAGAGGCAGGCAAATCTCTATGAGTTCAAGGCCAGCCTGGTCTACAGAGAGAGTTCCAGGACAGGATCCAAAACTACACAGAAACCCTGTCTTGAAAACCCCCCAGAAAAAAGAAATAAAGAAGAAAAGAAAAGAAGAACTTAAACACGTCGTAATAATCCAAGAGCAAGAGAGCTGGCTCAATGGTAAAAACAGGAGGACCTGTGTTTTGTTCCCAGGACCCAGGTGAGGTGTTCACAATGACGTATAACACAAGGGATTTGATACCCTCTTCTGTCCTCCACCGGCACCTGTACTCTTGTATACACATGCCCCGCCCCATACACAAATGATTAAAAATTAAATATAAAAAGATTTAAGCCTTGCTGGACAGTGGTGGCACACGCCTTTAATCCCAGCACTCGGGAGGCAGGGGCAGGAGGGTCTGGTCTAGAGAGTGAATTCCAGGACAGCCAAGGCCACACAGAGAAACCCTGTCTCAAACAACAACAAAGCCAAATCTAAAAGCACTAGGGAACAAAGAATAATGAAATCAATGCAGGCATTAATGAAACAGACACTAAAAAAAATAAATAAAAATACAGAAAGGACCAATCAAACTAAAAGTTGCTTCTGTGTAAAGATACCTAAACTAGCAGAGAGAGAGAGACAGAGAGACAGAGAGACAGAGGGACAGAGAGAGGGGGGGAGAAAGGAGAGGGGAGAGGGAGGGAGGGAGGGAGAGGGAGGGAGGGAGGGAGGGAGGAGGAGGGGAAGAAAGGAAAGGGGAGAGGGAGGGAGGGAGGAGGAGGGGAAGAAAGGAAAGGGGAGAGGGAGGGAGGAACTAAATGAATAGAGGAAAGGCATTAACCTATTGCTCTCCTTTCTGAGTACTAACACACTGAGCAGCTGCTTCAGGCTCCTGTCGCCTTGACTCTCTCTGCTATAATGAACTGTGCCATCAAACTGTGCACCAGAGTAAAACCCTCCTTTCTTAAATTGCTTTGTCTGGTACTGTCACAAATAACATAAGTAATACAGCATGTTAGGAGACACCAGGTAGCGCTGGACAGATGACTCAGAGGCTAAGAGCACTGAGTTCAATTCCCAGCAACAACAAGGTGGCTCACAACCATCTGTAATGAGACATGGTGCCCTCTTCTGGCGTGCAGGCGTACATGCAGCCAGCACTCACATATCAAAAATTAACAAATTTTTTAAAGTTTAAAAAAGAGAAAGACATCTTGTAAGTAGGGATTTTATTGTAATTTTTTCTTTTATCCTTACTGATTCTTTGTGAATTTCATATCATGCACCCCAATCCAGATCATCTCCCATTCCCTCCATATCTGCCCTTCTCACTCTTGTAGTGCCCCCCACAAAGGAAAGCTAAAAAAGAATAAAAGATAAAATAATATTAAAATAAATTAAATATAATAACATTTATAATATTAATTACAATGGAACAATTTAATTTAAATGAAATAGCATAAATATAAAAATAAATTTAAAAACAAAAAAGGGAAAACCACTTTCCCTCCTCTCCATCACCTCTCCATTCAACTTAGCGGCGTCGGGGGCTGCTGTGTATCATGCAGTAGGCCCGTTCGTCCTAAAATCATTACTTGCAAACGTTCATTGTGTAATGAGTTATTGGTCAGGATCAAGGCCTCCGGCTTCGGTATACCATCAATACTGAACCCACCCCACCACCAACCACCACGGACATGCCTCTCTGATATCGGACATTCCTCTCTGATACCCGGCGGTTGCCCGGGGTCATGGAGATCAGATCAGTCCCTTCACACACTCCAGCAGACCATGCATGGGGTAGATGTTGCGGTGTGCTAACTCCAAGCCTTGGATGCGTAAACTGGGATTTTAAATGCGCCTCTCTAATACTTCCACCAAAACTGAGAACAAGCCGGCCAACTGATCTAAGAATCCTGGGTTTACAGCCCAAGTACACACCATTAAATCACCAGGTGATCACAGCCTATACCAATAGACTACCAGGTGGTGGTTCAAAGAAGTTGCACGACACATGACATGGTGGTCATTTGCTAATAGCAATAGCGAAGTAAAACAACACAGTGAGGACTCCGTGCCCTGAGCCACCGTCTTAGTTACTTTTCTATTACTGTGACACGATGACCGAGGAAACCTACACACACGCTTGGATTCGCTGGGACGTCTTGGGCAGCGAGCATCCCAACTAATGACTGCAAACTTAGAAGACAAGCCTCTGACTGTCACAGGGCGGGAAGAGAGAACGCAGTGGCTGTGCCCGCTCCCCTCACTCTCTCGGGCACCCCGGGAACGCGTGCCGGGGGTGGGGGGTCACCATTCCACCAGCCAATCAACCACGCGGATCTCCGGAGCTGGGGGACCCAAAGGTGCACCGTGGAAGTCAGCGGCCACGGCAGGGCTTGGGGTTCCAGCAAACTGGAAAGTGGCAGGACAGAAGTGCTAGCCGTGTGCGAGAGGCGAGGAGGGGCGGTCCCACCCATGAGGCGAGCGGGCGAGCCAAAGCTTTTCCCACTTGCTACTAAGTTTTCCCGGGACCGGGGCTATGGCTGTCCCACCCTCCAGACGTTGCAGACGCATCCAGGGAACGCGTCTGGATTGGCTCCCGGCAAACGGAGAAGTGCTGTCCCGGGAGGGGAGTGGCCAGAGGCAAAGGTGGCGAGCGCTGGCTCTCCCTTACCTGTCGCAGGAGCTTCCACCGGGCGGCCCCCTTAGCTGTCCCCCGGCTGGCACCTCCGATACTGGGACGCTCGCCCGCGTCTGCTGCAGCCCCTGCAGCCCCCGCGGCTGCCACCTGCGACTCCATCACCCGCGCTGACCGGACGCGCGCGCGGAGCCGCCTCCGCCGCAGCTCTCCCCGGCCAGGACCTGCCAACTTCTTCCCTGTCAGGACCTGCGACGCCCGGCCTCCCGCCCACAGCCCCCGCGTGCGCCCTCCCTAAGTCCGCATTTCCGGTATCCGCGTCTCCTTGGCAACCAGGACAGCGGCGTCGCGTCATTGCACCAGTTTTCTGGTAGCCATCTTTAGTGAGGGCGAGACGGAGCTGGAGGGAGCTGTGACGTAGTTGCAGGGAAGGGATTTCCTCGTTGTTTTCTCCTTTCTCGCCTTGTCTCTTGCTCGCCAGGATACCAAAAAAGACAAAAGACAGGGCTGTCTTCATTCCAGTGAACCCAAAAGAGGAAAAATCCCGCCTCCTGACCATAATAAAGATGGCGAAATGTGCTTCCCTTTCCGGCTGGATCGGCCTTAACGCAGACCGGCGTGCTGCAAAGTAGCTCTGGGCGGCGCGAGATAGGTTGTCTCTCTTGCTGGCTGCAGGACGCAGACTTCGGGTGGACGAGGCTGAGGTGACAGACTGCACCTCCTCCTTAAGCGCATCGGGTTCTTGTATTTGTCTTCCGTGCTTTGACCCGTGTGTGTCCAGAGCCGGCCTGTCTTTCAATTTGCGTACGTATGGGGGGGCTGCTGGAGGGTCTCCTGTCCCAGTCCCTCTCCCCACCACCTTCCAGCCATTCCTCATCCCCTGGCCCCCCTTTTTGATCTCTATCTCTTCTGTGCTTGGTAACCGGTACCATTCCCTGGTCCCCCTTGGATCCCTCCCTGCCCTCCACCCCACCCCCAACTCTTTGATCCCTATCATCTCTTCGGTGCGTGGAAACAGATGCCCTCCCCTCACGCCCTGAGATCACCACATACTTGGGATGCACAGTTGTACAGGGAAACGAGCAGGTTCTCCTGGGATCACCCATTTGTCTGCCCCACCCGTACGCCATCCTTGCACGCACACAGTCTTCTCCGTGCGGATGGTGGGTGATTGAACTGAGGATATGGGGACAGGTGAAGCGATTTAGGGGCATTTTCCTTCCAAGCTGCTCCTGCTGCTGCGGCACTAATCAGTTATTTTGCTGCGACGTAATAGATTAAAAGGGGGAGGGGGCGTCGTAGCTGCTCGGATCTGTGGTTAAACTGACCTTGGTGTTTCTGTGCTACCAAGGAACGTGTTACAGAAGAATTCTCTCGTTACACTCAGCAGTGTGCAACATACCTAAATTATTCCTGTGCTAATATATTTAAAGTCCTTTTGTTGAGTGTTGACTGTGTGCCAGGTACTTGAACAAATTGTCTGGTTTTGTTACAAAACAACAACCCCAGAAAGTAAGTGGTGTGGTTATTTTTGTTGTTTTGTTTTGTTGTGTTTGTTTGTTTGTTTGTTTGTTTTACAAGGGAAGAAATTGAGACCCAAAGGCAAGGTCCAAAGCCTGAACTGGGTCTCTGGCTGCGACGGTTATAATGAACTGACCATCCAGCTGAAACCAAAGATGACTCTACATTTTATTTGCGCATCTTGCAGGGATTAATTTTTTTTATCCTTTTTTTGGTTAAGTCCAATAGCTTATGTACTAGATGAGGCTCCAAATCAATTGGACCTTTTGCTGTAACAAGTGACTTGGGGAAATTTCTTAAGCTTCCCAGAGGCACAGTTGGGTCTTCATCAAGAATATATGAAGCTTAAATTAGACGAATAGATGACAAGTATCTGGCACCTGACCAACACTCAACAAATATTAATCCCCCCTTTTATTAAGTAATTCAGACTTTTCCCATTTGCCCTTCACATATAAACCAATGATATGCCCAGAATTGTGTAAGATAAAACCTGTTTTGCTTCTGAACAATGGGATTTCCATTAAGGCCATTTACCACTTATTTGCAAATTTTTATTTTGTTTCTTGTTTTCTGTTTTTTGTTTTAGTTTGTCCATATGTGCACCAGAATCACTGCTGCTTAACTTGAACCTAGTAAAATTGACCTTACCAATGACATGTTTAAGCCAAACCTGCCAAGAAGTATGCTTTGAATGAACTTTCATTCATACAAGTTTTTCAGTTTACTTAACCAAAGATATCAGATGTCTACAATTATTGGTAACCTAAGGGGCTCACGACCCCCAAAGGGGAGGGATAAAATGTGGTGATCTCAAATGTTCTGAGATCCCATCACTGTATAATTATACATTTGAAATCACCCACGTGAAGGCAGCAAAAACCAGGGACATGATCACCATGCAGCAGACAACCAAATTATTTCTCCGAGCTTTGAAGTATAGTATTCCTCACCATGGGAAATGCATGCAGAAACAGAATTACTGTAACTTCGCTGATCGTTATTACAATAGAATAAGATTGAAAAAGTGTCACCTGCAGAATAAATCCAAGATATCAGAATTAGCAAGACACATCCCAAGTCGGAGCTTCTCATGTAAGGTATGGACTATTTAAGTTAACCTATTTGTAGGTCATTAATATTAATTTTAGTTCATAATCAATGGGTAAGATATCCATCACTAATTTTCTCAGTAATTCTAACTTTATTTTAAGATTTTTTTCAGGTGCAAATATCTGTAGCCAATATGAGTTCAAAAGAATGTATGTGACTCTCTACAGCTATAATGAAGTATATAAAAATGTAAATTCATAAAAACTGGTTGATCTGAAGACTTAGTGTACCTATGAATGTTTTAAAATATAGCTTTCTAAAATTACTAGACTCTACCTCTTAATAAAACCTAGTAATATGCTACTTCTTGTATGATTCATAAACTCCTGTAAATGCCATGTAGTTGAATATTGAACTGAAAAACTATCGTGCATTTTTGACAACTTGTGTTCCTCAAGAAAATACTGTTATACTTCTGTCAGGCCCCAAGCCATGGACTTGAGGTCAACCTTGAGGAACTGATTGCTCTTATATAGAGAGAACAGCATCGTGTTCTGGTTTGCCGGAGACAGGCCCACCTGTTCTCCCTGTGTGACTATTAATAGACCTCATAGGCATCAGTGTCACGTTACACGGTCATCATATTTAACTCAAAGTCAGGCTGTTTATCCTGTTGCTTCTTTAACAGGTACCCTCTACTTTTCAGTTATGTTCCTGGGGTTCCATGCACTACACTTGAGGGTGCTAACCTAACAATATTCTAGCATTATTTTATCATTTTCTTGCATGGTGATCTTTCTTGTAGTCTGTTTTGGCTTCCTCTAACTGTGGCAAATTAAGTATTTTAAAAGTTACCGTGTTAACCGCTTCTGGCGTGGAACTCAGTGGTGCTATAGTTTCTGTCAGAGTATTCTAATACAACTATAGCCATGTCCCCAGATATCCCGCAACAGTTTATGGGGGATAAACTACTTCCTGTATCTGTGAATTTGCCTCTTCTGGTATCTTGGTTGTGAACCTAGCCTTTAATGGCTGAGCTATCCCTTCAGCCCCTATTCTGAATGCTTACCCTTTCCTTATTTGATTTGTTTAATTTTGCTAATTTTTTAGGGTTCCTCAATGTATCATAACTCAACCCCTCTTTATAGAGATAATATTCCATTTACATAATCTACATTCTGTTTATCCATCTGTTGGTGAACACTTGGTGTATTATCTTCTAAATTAATCTTATTACCTAATTTTGTTTTATTTTTTCCTTTTATTTTTACTCAGTTTTTGTTCTTAGCTTGTAACTGTTTGGTACACATGCATTTCTCTTGCCTTTTGTTTTAAATGTTAGTCCTCTCCCCTCCGCTTCCTGGAGTCCTCACACTTCAATCTCTTAAACTGCTTTCCTTTGGGAAATTAGCTTGGCTCTATGACTCTTAACTTCACATACTTAGAAACTTTAAACTTCCCTTTTCTGTTCTGTTTGGTTTTTAATGTAGATTTACCATACTTGGTACCCACAAGGTTTATTAAAGTTTTACCTCCTGCAATAAGCCTTTGAGTTGCTTCATTCTGCATCATGATTAGAACATTTTGTCATGTTGTCTTGGTTTATAAATAGTAAGCCGGCATTACCACCAGAGTAGCAGCTGGAAGATTAGCTCATTTGCTGAGCCAGGAGGTTGTCTCAGAAGCCATTTGTCTCTGAGGCAGCTTTTAATTTTGTCATACATTCCCACTCCTAGACACTGACAGCAACTCTACAAATAGAAGCTCTTAGGAACGTCTTCCTCCTCAAAGCGGCTACCTCTGCTTTACTGTAATTTGTATTTCAACCATTCCTTCTATAACCAAAGAAGTGATCAGAATGCTGGGGTGTTTATTCATTGTGCTCCCTGAGACCTAAGGAAGCTTTTTAGGGATAACCCATCGGTGTGAAAACCCTCTGGAGACAGAAAGAAACATTTCTTTCCGTAGATTCCTCTGAGTTCCAAATGTGTCCACTGCAGATCATGCAGTCCTCTTGCCTCAGCCTCTCAAGTCACTGTGATTATAGGCATCACTCCAGCCAGAAGTCCGGGTTTTGTTGTTGTTGGTTTTTGTTTTGGTTGTTGTTGTTTTTAAAGTTCCTTGGGTAACCAAAATGCAATACCTGCATGCCACTGCCCCTTGTCTATATTTAGGAACTGGAGGTCCTTGGTGATCAACTGTTGTTGTTGCTCTAACCCTGATTCATTCAGTTGTAGTGTTCTCTTCTGGCCAGTACCTGAAGTTTCTGTAGGTATGGTAACCAGATGGTAGGACTTACTCCCACACTCACATTTGCTGGTGATGCTCGGAGGACGGTGTCAGCAGAGGCCATGCGTCCTGTGTTCTGTACCTTCTTGCACTGTTCTCCCCACAAATAAAGAACTTCAAAAATGATTGATCAGGACCATCTGAACAAGATATAAAAGATAAGAAAGAACTTAGCTGGGCATGGTGGCACATGCCTTTAAAGCCAGAGGAAGGCAAATCTCTGAGTTCCAGGACAGCCAGGGCTACACAGAGAAACCCTGTCTAGAAAAAAAAAAAGAAAAGAAAAGAAAAAAGAACTTAAATCCTCTGTTAAATGTGTCATTTGCCTATGTCTTTTGGTTACAGATGCTGCGGGGAGGGAGGGGGGCAGTGTGTACCTTGGTGAGATTTGGGGTGGAGCCCAGCACCTCACCATCAGCTAACAAATACTATATTTTATCACTGAGCCACACCCCAAGCTCTGGCCTCTTGAATAGGTTAACAGACAGCTTCTCCACTGAAGCTATGGTTTGGGGTTTCTGAGATTTGCTAGTGATAGCTAGCAGCTTCAAATCATCAGAAGAGGGAAGAAAGGAGAAATGGTAAAGAAAGTCTCAGCGAGGAAAAAATGTAATCCGGCAATTTTGTGAGATTTGAGAGTGGGACCAGATCCCAGGCAACTTCACTTGGCTGTTTCTCCACATTTAATTCTCTCTTTCATCTCCTTCAGTTCCCAGTCCACTCCTTTGTCAATGAGATGATCCCTTCCCTGTCTGGATTCTAAATCCTTGTGTCCTTGCAAATCTTTTCTTAAAACAGAACTTGAATTAAATGGACGTAAAGCTACTAGGACCCTTCTCTAGTCCACATGATAAATGTTTCACTCTAAAATAGTGGTTCTCAACCTTCCTAATGCTGAGACCCTTTAATACAGTTCCTCATGTTGTGGTGACCCCCAGTCATAAAATTATTTCATTGCTGCTTCATAAATGTCATTTGCTACTGTTAGGAATCATGATGTAGCTGATCAGTAGTGGCATACTCCTGTAATCCCATCACTCGGGAGGCAGAGGCAGACAGATCTCTGTGAGTTCGAAGCCAGCCTGGTCTACAGAGCAAGTGCCAGGATAGCCAGGGCTGTTGCACAGAGAAACCCTGTCTCAAAAAACCAAAAAGAAAAAAGAAAAGAATCATAATGTAGATATTTTTGGAGATGGAAGTTTGTCAAATGGGTTGCGACCCACAGGTTGAGAACTACTACTCTAAAATCTCAGCACATTTCACTATAGAATAATACCCTACAAATTAAGTAGGTACTATACTAACTTGCTCAAAATCACAAAATTCTATCTCACCTCTGGACCAACTTTATGCCTCAGGTGGGCCTCCTTTTTTTGTAATAGATTACTTTTTTATACACATGAGCGTTTGCCTGCATGTATGTCTGTGCACCATGTCCATGTCTGGTGTCCGTGAGGACAGAAGAGGTATGAGGTCCCCTGGAGCTGGGGTCACAGACAATTGTGAGCTATCATGTGGGTGCTAGAAATCGAACTCAGATCTTCTGCAAGAGTAGGAAATGTTCTTAATCACTGAGCCCTCTCTCCACCCCCTATAACTAGAATTTTAAAGCTTGATAGTATTTCACAAATGATAAATACATTATATTATAATTTACATATATATTTCAGGTATGTTAATTACAGATTTAATATATTGCATGAGACAACTACCAGAAACTGGAGGAAGTGTCTTTGTTTCCAAATTTTAAGGTTTTAGCACAGTTGTCACATTTATAAATTATTTTCTGTTTATTCAGAGGGCCTCAAGATTTATCTTTTGGGGCTAGTGAGGTGACTCAGCAGTTAAGGGCACGCCTGCCACGCCTAAGTCAAGGCCTAGATTCAGCCCTAAGAACTGAGGTGGCGGGAGGAGAGAAATGGTTTTTTGCAAGTTGCTCCTGACTTCCACACATACGCATACACACAACAAGCATACACACAACAAACAAATATAAAAATCGATAAAGACTAAAAAAGGGTTTATCTTTTTTTAGTGTTAGGTGACACTGGTAGACTTTTCCAATAATGAATCATATAGTCATTCTTACAGAGAACCCCACTTGGCCACACAACTGTTTGCAACAATAGCGATGAGTGTTTTTTTTTTCTTTTGTGCATTTAAAAAGTAATAGGTTCATCCCATTTTATTTAAGGTTGTTTTTGTCTCGATCCTGATTTGAGGTCATGTAGGCTGAACCAAAGGTCTATCCGATGCCAAGTAAAAGCTCTAACACCAAGCCCAAGATTCACTTTCTTTTCCCCTGTGTGGGAGTAGGTAATGTTCTTTTCCTTTTGTCTTATAATATCCTCATAATTTCTCACTAATATTTTGCTAAATCTCATACCTCCCCCTCTCAAAAAAAGGCTTGTCTTCTCTCTGTTTAGGTTTTTATGCTATGTGCTATTCTAGCCAATCAGATCAGTAAACTAGGACAAAGATCTCTGCCTTCATAGAGTTTGAATTTTTGTTTTCAATAGAAATGACATTATAAAATAAAGATAAGAATAATCTAGTGAGGGCTAGGCATGTAGCTCTGTTGGTAGAGTATTTGCTTAGCATGCATAAAGGCCTGGTTTCAACCAGCCCAACTGGGCATGGTGCCAGACACTGTAATGTCCACCACTCAAGAGGCAGAGACAGGAGGAGAGGTGTCTCCATGTCAATCCCACCAAACAAGAGTGAAGACTGTTACCCAGACTCCCCAGTCAATCTAAGCAAGCTCTATTTTCTGTCAGACAGGGTTAGCTCTCTAAAGTGGTATTTGAAAATATAGCCTCAAACGCAGGAAAAGGTAGGGTTTATAAAGTCCAAAAGACTATAAAGCTAGAGAGGTTTCAAGGGTTGGGGGATTTCCAGAGGAGTTTTGGTCACGTAGGAACTTGGCTGAACATTTTAAAATTATCTGGTAGAGCATCTTACCTATCAGGCTATACTCAAGTTGTGAGTCAGACTCCATCGGGTGGGGAGCATGTCAAACTCCAGAAACAGGCTAAAGTACAATTGACTTGAATTTTGTATCACTAAAATGAACTTGTAACAAAATGGCTTCCATCCTTAAGATGGAGTCAGGCTGGTCCAACAATGGCCGTCCTCAGATACATAGCATAAAGGGACATCCAGGGCCAGCCTTTGTTTTCTGAAACAAAAAGAAAGTAAGTTGTAGGAGATAAGTGCAATGGAGAAAAAAAAAGAAGGGGGTCAGAGGATGGAAGAAAGCATATTCTAATTGAAATGAGACGGTAAGGGTTGGACTCATGGACAGCCTGGCATGGGAACATAGGCTTCAATATGGAAAGACATCTATCTTGTGCAGAGGACTTAAGCAGTCGGAAGAGATTTCAATTTATGTTGTCACTGAGTTTTAGTGTCAAGGTTGTATTAGCCTAATAAAGTAAATTGAGTAATTCTATCTTTTTTCCTGTTTTCTTTTTTTTTTTTTTTTTTTTTTTTTGGTTTTTTCGAGACAGGGTTTCTCTGTGGCTTGGGAGGCTGTCCTGGAACTCACTTTGTAGACCAAGCTGGCCTCGAACTCACAGAGATCCGCCTGCCTCTGCCTCCCAAGTGCTGAGATTAAAGGCGTGAGCCACCAACGCCCGGCCCTGTTTTCTTAAATAGTTGATTATGAGATTTTTTTTGCCCTTCGACTGTGGGGGAGGGGTGAAGGGGATGGGAATAGATGAGACAGGATTTCTATAGATAGCCCAGACTTATCTCAAACTCAAAATTCCCCTGCCTCACCCTTCTGTGTGCTCAGATTATAGGCATATGCCACTGTATCTAGTTCAAGGAAAGTACCTTTGACAGTATTCTGGCCTTGGTATGTTTTTTAATTTTTTTAAAATATTTACTCCCTTTTGTATGGTTATTTCCTTATGTAGCTTTTTCATGTCCTGAGTCAGTTGTGGGAGCACTGCACTAATGAACTCCCAGTAGCTGTAGCTCCTGCAGAGAATCAAGCCAGTCAGTGTTCTAGCGTGGAGAGACCAGGGACTCACAAGGACCGCTCCCCTAACTGAGGGTCTATTGAGAGCATGAGGGGGGAGAGCCCATCTTTCTGTAAGGGTGTGGCCCATGGTAGGGAAACATGTTCCAGTGGCTGGCATACCGCACTAAGGAGTACATGGGCAGTGGAGATGTACAGTCAGTGGGGGTTGCACTTGAACTTGGGAGGGAATAGAAACATGAAGGTGGGTCTGATGGATAACTATGATCAAAATATCAGTCATATGGGTGTACAAAATTCTCAAATAATAAACTATATTTAGAATGTTCTAATCTCTATTGTAACTAATTACACCATATATCTCAAATCTAATATTCTCTGTCTTTTCCTTGATTAGTTTTACTACACATTTGTCTTTTTTAGTAGTTTTCTGGGGATGGGGATGATTTTTTTAATCCTCTTGTTTTTCTCTTGGGCTTTACTTTTCAGTCTTCTCTGAGTGAGATGCAGTGTCGGTTTGTCCCACTGTTAATGATTGTTTTAGCTAAAACATTAACTGTCAGTTGTCCCTGTCAATAAAGGGACACCATTCCTTCTGGAAGCAGCAACTGATGCAGTGTGGATGTTGCACATTATCCTTGCCCAGTCTGTTGATGATTTCAGCCCTATTTGTTTCATCAGAGCTCTTCAAGTGATCAGCCTATCACACTTCCTGTATTGATTAGCTCATCTTAGTCTGTAAAGGAAAGTATCTTCAGTAGGCAGTGGTGGCACACACCTTTAATCCCAGCACTTGGGAGGCAGAGGCAGAGGGATCTCTGCAAGTGTGAGGCCATCCTGGTCTGCACAGTGATTTCCAGGACAGCCAGGGCTACACAGATGGAAGGAAGGAAGGAAGGAAGGAAGGAAGGAAGGAAGGAAGGAAGGAAGGAAGGAAGGAAGGAAGGAAAGTTTCTTCAAGGTTCTTTTTCTCTTTTAATTTTAATTTGTATTTGATCCAGGGGTTTGTTTTTCATTTGCTTGTTTGTGGAGTTTGCTTTTTCAGTGTATTTTAACTAATTAGTTGTTATTCTTTTTGATGCTCATATTCTCTCCATACGGCTAGTAGATGCCCCTTCACACTGTCTCTTGTGTCCTGTTGACATTGCCTAGGTTGTGCTTCGAGCACTTCCTTTGTGGTACAAGATTTGCCAAGCCTACCTTGTGCTCTTCCTACCCAAGGTCTGGAGTTGGGTAGGGAGAGCACAATCCCATCTTCAATCCAGTGTCTTTCTACTTCACAATTTCTTATCTTCGGATTTAACATTTTTGCCACAATAAAGTTGGCTAGTTGACTGTTAATGCATTTCATTGTGTAAGTGGGTTTTACGTTGGGCACTTTAGAACGTGGCTGAAGGTGCTTTTTGCTTCTGATGGACTGATAACGTATGTGAAACTTAAGACTTCAGTGGGCGTAGGAATGAAGACGGGGCTCATTTGATAGTGCCTGCTGAGCATTCACAGGGCCCTGGCTCGGACTCCCAGGCCACAGACCGGGGTGACGGCACGCACCTATAATCCTAGCACTGCAGAGGTAGAGGAGTAGATGCCGAAGGTCACCTTCCACTCCACAGCAAGAGTAAGCCCAGCCTGAGATTCACGAGACTGTGTAAAAAAAGAAACACTTTTCAACAAGACAGTCAGTGTTCTCTGGATTCAGTTCAGCTCAGGTTCCAGGTTTCTCATATGCTAAGGTAGAGCTTCAAGACAGAGTTCTACTGACACTCCAGCTTATAATTTGATTTTCTAAGCAATAGTAGAGGATTATTGATATATTTTGCCTTATTCTAAATATCAGCCATAGATATTATAAAAATGCAAAAACATGAATGAAAATAGGTGTGACAAACCTTCATTCTTTTGACTGCAAATCATTACTCAAGAATCACCTATATGGCCGGGCGGTGGTGGCGCACGCCTTTAATCCCGGCACTCGGGAGGCAGAGGCAGGCGGATCTCTGTGAGTTTAAGGCCGGGCCGGACCGACAGCCTCCAAAACAATACAGAGAAACCCTGTCTCGTAAAAACCAAAAAAAAAAAAAAGAAAGAAAAAAAAGAATCACCTATATGATTGGAAGTAGAAGTTGAGGGGCTGAGGAGATGGCTCTGTGGGTAGAGGTGCTTGCTGCCAAGGGTGCCCTCTGAGCTCTATCCCACGTAGTGAAAGAGAGCACTGACTCCCACAAGTTCTTCTCTAACCTCCATGTGCCCCCAACATTAAATAAATAAATATACAATAGTTTTTACAAGAAAGTCCATGCTGAGAGTTGAGAGTACCATAGATTTGATGACTATTTCAAATCTAATCCAAATCATTAAGGCACCCCGCCCCCGAATTCTTAAAGAATAACTTTGTGAAAATGATTGTTGTCCATTTAGCCTGTTTTGGTAAGTTTTCTGTTTTGTTACATTTTCTTTCAGGTTGTAAACGCCTTACAATATAAACTGCACCTGTAGCTTGCTTTCTCAACATCACTGGGGCCTCACCCGTGGCTCAGTGCCCCTCTGGCACCATCTGCGTGCAGTTGTCAGCTCTGGCAGAAAGAATCAGGCATTGTGACTAAAACTCTTGTTTATACAAGGCAAAGCAGTGGGGTGTGAATTATTGACTTATTTCTAATTTGGCAGTTTTAGGTTCAGCCTTATCCTGTGTTGATGATCCACCTAGTTCTTACCTGCTCACCAGGAGGCCCCCAAATGCGTAGCTTACTGCCCTGAATAAGGCACAGTGGGTGACTATGTAGTTTCTTCTCCATCTCTACTAAACGTTACTACGTTCCATTGCTTGTCCTTCCTTTTTTATAATAAACTGTCTCTTAAACAGGAAAGGAGCTGAGTGTAGTGGCACATGCCTTAATCCCAGCACTTGGAAGCCCAGACAGGTGGATCTCTGAGTTCAAGGCCAGCCTGGTCTACAGAGAAAGTTCCAGGACAGCCAGTGCCACACAGAGAAATCCTGTCTTAGGGAAAATAAAAATAAAAACAACAACCAAAAAAAAAAGTGTGTGGGGAGGCCTTGTCCTATAAGCTGTTATTTAGCTTTGTGATAAACACCTCTACTATATTTGTAGAGTTACTTATCCCAACAATGTAAGAGTATATGGTAGTAAGGTAGAATAAATTTTGTAATATTTCTATGAATAAATTAATAACCAACATCTATCAGCTAAGAAATGTCTTCCTCTCTGATACTTCCCTCCTCTTAGGTTGTATTTCAGTGCTTATGAAACTCAACAGGTTTTTCCTACCTCTCATTTCTATAAAATGTGTAAAAATTCAAAGCATTTTCTTTCCTTCTTAGCTGTATGTCGTGTTTCTGACGTTGCCAGAGCTTCTTAGTGCTCCTCATACACTTAGTATAATGCATCAAGTATCTGCTTTCTTTTGATGAAGTCGAAAAAGAACAAGATTTGTAAAAACACATTTCATAAATGCCTGACATAATACTTGTGTGAAAAGTATAACCATTATTAGAAGCAAAGACTTTGAGTTTGAAAAATTGTGATCATACCACCAAAAATGTCTCTAGGACCTTCTGCCTATTAAGCCAGAAAACGAAAAATCCCTTTCTGAAAACATGGACGCATTTGAAAAAGTGAGGACAAGATTAGAAACACAGCCACAAGAAGAGTACGAAATCATCAATGCCGAGGTAAGCTGTGCTGTGTCTTCTGTGAGAGCCGTACCCATTGTCAGAGGCAAACAGGCTACCTCATGGACATGACATCACATCACAGTCTTGTCACGCTTACCCTTTTGAGCCTGCTGAGCATTTTCAACTGTAAACAACAGACAAAATATACTTAAAATTAAAACTTAAGATAAAACAGGAACTGTAATAGATTAATTCTGGTAGATGCTGGAGAACAACAGTGTGAATTTGTAGAGATTCCAAGGAGAGACATGTAAAACTACTCATTTCTTTATTATTTCAAAAGTATTTATATGTTGTGTCTGCGTTTTTATAAAAGGAAACACACTGTAATAAAGCTAAGTATACAGTTAATCACTTTGCAATTATCAGTCATTAAGTACTCAGTTGAAATAAATGTAACGAAGACACTGGAAATCTTTTCAGTAAGACTGAAAAACAGGTCAGAGATTATAAGTGAAAATCACATACATAGGGAAATACAAAGAGCAGTAACAATACCAGATTCCAAATATACCACATGAGACATAATGTGTCTTTAAGCCACCTGAAACCAAGTAAGTCAATCACTCACATTTAAGATGTGTTAGACAGCCGGGTGTTGGTGGTGCACGCCTTTAATCCCAGCACTCGGGAGGCATAGGCAGGTGGATCTCTGTGAGTTCGAGGCCATCCTGGTCTACAGAGCGAGTTCCAGGACAGCCTCCAAAACAATACAGAGAAACCCTGTCTCGAAAAAACAAACAAACAAAAAAAAAAAACACATGTGTTAGATAAGAACCCTGTTCATTCAATGTGTATATTAATGATGAGTGGACCCTATTTATTCAATATGTACATGAATGATGAGTGAATCCTGTTCATTCATATATGTGTAATACTCTCTTGACCTCACTTTGTCACACCACAGTACACTTTGTATAAAATCAAGTCAGTACTGCACAGTTGATGACAGTGATTTTGAAAGAAAGGACACCAGAATGTTAATTGGCATTTCAAGCTAGTCAGAGCTTTTTCATCTGGTATTGCTTTAGATTATCTTAAAGATGCCATTTGATGTCGTTAATTGCATCTCACTAGACAGATATTAGGTGAATGAGCATCAATTTTGTTATGCCTTTGCATTTGTGTATTAGAAATCGCTGATGATTCTGAGTGTAAGAAAGCAGTGTTTTGCTACCTGTATTGTAAAAATGACCTGTTTCATATTTCATTCATGTTGTTCAGTAGCTCTGCCTCTTGTGATATGATAGGTCTTGTCCCTTCATCTGAAGTAGTCAGACCTTTAAATAATTAAGTTACTGTGAGTAAGTCACATTTCTTTTCAATGTCAGATTAAGCATGGCGGTTTCGTTTATTACCAAGAGGGTTGCTGCTTGGTCCGTTCCAAAGACGAAGAAGGTAATTTGTGGTAAATCACAGTTCTTCTTTAATGATGACTGGCTTTTGAGGTTTCACATCTTTAACAGGAAGCTTCATAGTAGTTTCTTGAAGCCATTAGAATGGATTTCTTAAAGATTATTTCTAAATGGTTTAATTGATTGATTCTGAGTACCTGGGTTGACTTAAGATAGCGTTAAGAACCACACTCAGAAGTATCAACAGAGAGAGTGAGCATGGAATCCAGCATGTTTCACGTATGTTCTATGTCTCAGTGCTGTGCTGGGCACTTTACATACATTATGTGTATCATTTGTATTCTCTTTGTAAATTCTGTAATCTGTAAATACGACACCAGCAGTTTTCAACTGGTCCCCAAAAATATTTACATTACGATTCATAACAGTATCAAAATTACAGTTATGAACCAGCAGTGAGATAACTTTATGCTTGGGGGTCACCACAAAGTGAGCAATTATATTAAAGGGTCACAGCATCAGGAAGGTTGAGAACCATTGTACTAGACTATCACAATAGCTCATAAGTAAATACATAGAATAATATTGAACAAAATATTTTTAGATAACTATTATAGAAGGATATCAGTATATGGCCTCTGAATGTTAACTTGAAAACATTAAGATCCAGTTTAAAATTATCTACAAGTATATGTTGTCATATAAGTACCATGCACTGACTGATTGCACCACTGGAGCTCCTACAAGTATATGTTCTGGAGCTCTCTTTTCCCTACCTTCCCTCATGCAGCCGACAGCGATAATTATGAAGTTCTATTCAACCTGGAGGAACTGAAGTTGGACCAGCCCTTCATTGATTGTATCAGAGTTGCTCCTGATGAGAAATATGTGGCTGCCAAGATAAGGACTGAGGATTCAGAAACATCCACCCTCATAGTTGTGAAGCTCAGTGATCAGCCTGTGATGGAAGCTTCTTTCCCAAATGTGTCCAGTTTTGGTAAGCCGCCAAGACAAGCCCTATGGAAAAGGCAGCCATAGCGAGCTGCTCACACTTCTGAAAGTTGTTAGTCCACAGTAGGGAAGGAGGTGGTGATGACCAGGTCCATTTCTGTATGGACTGAACATCTGCCTATGGACTTCATGTTATGAAATTCTCATTTAATTAGCTGAGTGGTTCACTTTAAAACTGTGCTTGTGGGGGACCGGAGAGACGGCTCGGTGGCTAACAGCACATATATTACTCTTGTAGAGGACCCACGGTCAGTTTTCAGTGCCCATGCTGGACAATCCACAACCACCTGTAACTCTAACTCTTAGAAGGTCCAACAGATACCCACATGGGAGACACACATGCTTATACATAAACAAAATTTTAAGAGTAAATACTTCATGAATTGACAAGAGGCTTTGTGTGTAAAAGCACTCGCCACATAGCCTGACTGGAGTTCAGTCCTAGAAAGGAGACGGCCAGTGCCTGAAAGTTGTCCTCTGACCTTCATACCTGCACCATGACCCACAAGCACTCATATTCACACACACTTCATACACTCACCGGTAAGTCAAATAAATAAATAAAACATTTTAAGTAAAAATAA